CACTCTCCCCCATACCTCCACTCCTTTGGCGGCTTCTCCTTCTTGTTGTTAATTCGCTCTTGCGTTGCGACCTCCGACCATCCGGACGGTTTTTCTATTCTTCAATCACCATCAACCGCCCGCCCGCCGTCTTCAACATCCTTCACGCCGTCTCAGCACCCCTCCTCCCCCGATCCCGATTCGATCCATTACCTCCGGCTTCCCTGCTCGACTTGCCCCCTTTTGCTCCGCCGCTGGCCTGCTCGCTCTGTCGCTGTCGCTGTCGCTGGTCGTCGCATTTTTCCCTGGTTCGTGCGTTCACCGCCTTCTGTCTCCTCTCCCTCTTCTCCAATCCTGGATGGAGACCTTCGGGCGTCCATAGCTAAACGAGCCGATTCCCTACAGTCATCGCCTGAGACTTTTTCTTAGAAACCTCCCGGATCCTGGCACCCCTGCCCTGTCCTGTCCGCCCACCGCAGTACTACCCAACTACCTCCCCAGTCCTTGACTGACCAGTCAACCGCCCAAGGGACCCCGAGACCCTCTCGCGATTAAAAGCCCGGGCCAGCCCCGTGCAAAGCAACGAGACGAGGGAAAAAATACACTCGCCGGCCAAACTTATCGCCCTATCGCCATAAGGCTGGTCACCAGCAAGTGACATGTCATGGACAGCTCCTCGACGCCGCTCGCCGACTACTTCTGGATCGCCGGCGTAGAGTCCATCTCCTACAATGACCCTACCCCGCAGCCGCCCCAGTCCAACCTCGAGTCCATCATCGTCGAGGACAGCGAACAAGAGGACAGCGATAGCGATGTGAACGCCACTCCGAGCAAGCGCGTTGCCCGCCACTCGAGACAGAACTCGGGCGGCCGCACCTCTAATGGCCGCTTTTCCATCCATACCCTCGACGAGGTTGACGGGAACACGAGGAGCAACCGAAGTAGCGCTACGATCCGACCCTCTCAGCTCAACCAGGTCGCTGCCAATGGCACCAGCAGCCCTCCGGGCACCGGTTTCAACGGCCTCAATGGCTTGAACGGACTGAATGGCCTCAACGGCGAAATCCCCCCATTCATAGAGGGTTTCGACTTTGACAAGGCCCTCCTCAAGTTCGCTGCCGAACGGGAGAATTTCCTCGAGGATTTGTCCTTCAGTGCTGGAGCCAAGGCGCAGGCCAGACCTATGGTGAACCCGAGAGCCGAGCGTATCAAGGCCGATGAGGGTGATATGAGCGGTCGAAGAAGCCCTCTCCGGAGTATCGAGAGGAGCATCAAGGGAAGCATCCGCCGCAAGATGAGTTTTAGGGACATGAACAGCATGCGCAAGCAACCCACCACACCGCGAGCGAGCACGCCAGGTGCCGGTACGATTCCCCGCCAAGGTCCATCCTCCTTTACTACGCAAGCCTCAAGTCCTCAACGGCCTACTAACACGTTGGAACCAGCTTCAATTAGGACTTCCAAGCGCTTGAGCAACTACAACTCTGTCATTCCTCCCCCGGAGCCCCTTAACACAGATCCAGACATGCATCCCCTCAAGAGGCGTTTCGAGCCCGTGTTGCTAGACAGGTACCCTGCCAAGGATGCGACCGACGAGGTCAGCCGCCGTGGAAAGTTTCCTGACTACGTCCCCATGTTTGCCTTCCCCAACGACATCCAGATCGTGTCTTCGGACGACCGACCCCGTTCCACCTGGCACGGTTTCACGATGACATCGGACGACAACTCCAAGATCTATGGTATCACCATCATTATCTGGACTGCGATAACATCTGAGGTTGCAGACGAGGTGGAGAAGCGATGCGAGCAGTGGCGGCAGAGTCACATGTCCAACGAGGAGCGGGAGTTGGCAGCCAGTCTTGGTGTGCGGCTCGCGGCTGAACGTGCGCATTTGTCACAGCTGCTCGCGAAGCTGCCGACGATTCCTTCCGGATCGTCAGCCCGTGATACTCTGGATGACCAAATCAGTGCTGTGGAGGAGAAGATCAGTCTCATGACAGAAATGTTGAGACCATTGCGTCACGGTGCTGCATCCAAGATTGACGGGTTGACTGCTGGCGAGAGCGGTCTCTGGGCCCCCAGAGCCTACGGCATCTTGGGCAGAGATGTCACAAGAATGTCGTTCTGGAAGGAGTGGTTGCGCGCCATTGTGGTGCCTATGACTGATGGAGCAATCCTGCGAGTCCCGCCAAGCTCTCCCAAGGTTGGCCGTTGGCAACCGCTGGAGCGCTACGTCGTCAATCTGTGCACTGAGGCGTTCAGCCCTTTGAGCTCTAAGACACAGGTTGAGCTCGGCGTGCGCGAATTGCGAATGTACTGTCGCAAGGAAGCCACGAACGAGATTCCTGGGGCAAGAACCATCGACATCTATGCCCTGTTTCGATGTCTTTCTATGGAGAACATCGTTGCCCTCTTCGAATACGCCATGTCCGAATCTCGTATCATCTTCATCTCTTCCCACACTGGCATGCTTCACTTGGCGTGCCATGCATTGGCGAATCTGTTGTATCCCCTTAAGTGGGCGAGCATCTTTATTCCCGTGCTTCCTGCGCGTCTTCTCTCTGCGCTAGACGCGCCCTGCCCCTACATTGTCGGCATCGAGAGACGCTACGAGAAGATTGAGTTGCCGGACGATGACTATGTGCTGGTGGACTTGGACATGGACACGATTGATGCGACCACCCAGCCTGTACGCTTGCCCCGCCAGCACCGCCGCAAGCTTCTCTCGTTGCTTCATGTGGCCGCACCCCACCACATTCGGTATGGAGTGACTGTTGGTCCTCCGCCGTATGCCATGGAGTCATTCCCCTACGACGCCTTCTCTGCAGAAAACGATACGCTCTTCAACTCAAGCGTCAGCTCTAGCTCGCTTGGCAAGTGGGTTACACAGAACTCCTCGTCATTTGGCGAACCGGAACCGCCCAACTCCGTGCGCCCTCCCATCTTCAATGCTTTCCTGCATTCGAGGGGTGACCACGGCAAGTCCGACCGCCCTGATACGAGCAAGTCCGGAAAGACCAGTCCGCAGTCATCGGTTTCGCCGGTTTCTATGAACTTCCCACCGATGCCGACCACCCCAGTCTCACGGAGTGACTCTGGCTTCGCTCAGACCCTAAGAGAAAAGAAGTCTGGCCATTTCGACGAGAAGTCCCGCCGCAGCTCGTCTTTCGGCATGGACAAGCACCCGCCTCTCCATCGACCAAGCCTGCCGTTCCTGAACGGACACAACCCGAGCATGTCAGTCTCTGCCATCTCGGTTGACTCGCAGTCGTCGTACGGCGGATATGCTCCTTCGACCTACGCGCAGTCCACCATTGCGGCCTCCACCATCATGCCCAATATGTTGATCCAGCCTGTGAGGAACACTGAGACGACCATGTGGGTTGAAGGTCACTGCTTCAACTGGATTGCCCACGATTCATCGTCCACTTGTACTGTCTGCGATGAAAGATCTGAGGGTGACGGTATCTATAAGTGCTCTCATTGCGGTGGATTCGCCCACAGTCGCTGTCTGGGACACGTTTCGATCGTCTGCAGCGAAGCGTTCCATCCTGATCGCGTCCGGGCAGCTTTTGTCCGTTGCCTCGCTAGCTTGCTGTACACGTACAGAAAGCATCTCGGACGCCCCTCCAGGGAACAGAAGAGCAACGGCCAGCTTTACGCCTTTGACATGGATGGTTACATCAAGAGTCTCCCGTACGACCAACAACCGTACGCTACCATGTTGCGGGAAACCCAAGGTATGTGTTTCGGCATCAAATTCGCGTTGCTTGTCACTAACGGCCTTTAGCATTTAACGAGTTCATCCATGAGCGTGAGACTAACTCTGCTACCCACGCGTCCATTCGTCTGTTTGACGAGATCATCATGGCCAAGAAGGCCAGAGGCCGTCCCACACTGACGTCTGGACTGTCCCGTCTGTCGACCATTCGCATGTCACATGGCGCATCGAGCAACGCTTCGGGTTTTGCTGCGCCTGCGAAGCTCAAGATCCCCACTTACCTGGGCGACACCTCTGACCACATGTGGCGAACTGCTTCGGTACCAGTACCCAACGCCAAGTTTCCGGGCGAGTACCGGACCGTCGTCACTCGGATTCCCACCAAGCTAGACCCCGCCCTCATGAGGGAGCCGCGTGCTATTCAGGGTGTCCCGCGACCCGAGCAACGCAGAGGCGGCCTCCTGCGCAAGATGGTGCCTAGCATGGTGGGCAGCCCGCCAAAGTAAAGGGTCAGCGATGACGCAGGCCAGGCCACCACGCCGGTCACGATTTGACGACCAACTCACTTTCTGCTTCTGGAGCTGTACGATAGGGAGACTGTATGTTTAATAAATGACCGGAGGCAGAACTGTACAAAATTCACAAACGGCATAAGGGGGGAGTCCGGGGATAAAAGAGGCCAGGGGGTCTCACCAGAAGTTGTCCTTTTTTCAGTTTTTTTGCCGAGTCTTTGTTGCTTTTTCCCCAGTTGCGAGCAGGAATTTGGATTCCGAAGCCATTTCCGGATAATTGCATTGTTGTCGAGCAGGAAATTGCGATCGAGCAAGCAAATAGGTAGAGAGAAAGCATTGGTGAGCGGGAGGGATTTTTTGCAAGGTTGCCATTGCAGACGACGGTCCTGACATGGTTGACTTTTTACACGCAATTAGAGCCAAGAGACGAAACAATGAGAATACACACAAGACCTTCCAGGTCGACTGTACATGATGTTTCACAATACCTGGTGATAGATGGCCTCTCTCTGTGTGTGTATCAATGAGGATTGGTTGGATGTGGATTCTATTCAAACGAAAACTACCATGACGGTTCTTCTTTGGTGTCGTTGTATGACCCTCCAGGGACCTGCTCACTGCATGAAGCGTTATTCACGCACATCATGCCTCACCCTCCGAACACATGTATCCGGAGCCTGTTGTACCTCCGCTCTCAACGTTCGATATAATAGCATTTGACCACCCTGCCAGCAACCCTTAACCCAAAAAAAAAAAAGAGAGTAACTCCCATTACAACAACAAACTTCTTAAGCAAACTCGTCCTCGGGCTCCTCGATGGTGTTCTTGACCCGGACAAGCATCGTCGTCTTCCACTTGTCGAGCTTGCTGACCTGGTCGTACTGGAACAGCTTGTCGGTGAACTCCTCCTGGTTGCCCGCCTCGACGGCCGCCAGCAGGTCGTTGAGGAGCATCGCCTCACGCTGCTGGGCGAAGCCGGGGTCCATGTCGGTGTACTTCTCGACGGCGCGGCGGGCGGCGACCATGTCGCCAGACGCCAGGTGGCAGATGCCGGCGCGGAGGAAGTAGTCCTTGACCGAGTACTTCATCAGGTTGTTGTTGATGGAGGCCGCCGCGACCTTTTCGTAGTTCTCAATGCCCTTGTAGTAGTCGCCCTCGAGGGACGCGACGTCTGCTACCTTGAGCCAGAGCTTGTTCGCGAGCCTATTTTCGTTCAAGTCAGCAGCTTTCCTTCGCAGCGATCTAGGCGAATGGGACTTACGCAGCAGCATTGTCTCCCTCGTACCACCCCGCAGCAGCCTCGTACGCCTCGAGAGCCCTCTTGGAATCACCCAGCTCCACCTCGAATAGCTCGCCCAGCGCCTCCTTGTGTCCCGCCGCGCGGCGGAAGTTGCCCTTGGCGCAGTACTGGTTCACGGCGACGTCGAGGCAGCGGACGGCGGCTTCGGGATCCTCCTTACGGTAGGCCTTGAAGGCGTCGACGAGGGTATTGGCGGCGTCGTCGGGCTCCTTGAGGTTGTTGGTCTGGACCTGAGCCGCCTTCTCGAATGCTTGGCCGGCCTCGCGGTCTGGTCACATTCGTCAGCGCCGTTCCTTGGGTCGCAGAGCATACTGATGGGCGGGACAATACTGACTGAGCTTTTGCATCTTGAAGGCGTTCGCGGCCTGGATGTACAGATCCGCCGCATTCTGGTACTTCTCCTCGCGGCCGCCGAAGAAGCTGAAGCCGCCGCCGGCGCTCGACAGCGTCTTGTCTGCCTGTGTTCCTCTCCGTTAACGCTATGCCCCTACTGCTGTTCGCCCACGGGCGGGTCATCGTCACTCTGGCGACGCCTTCCGGGGGAGACGCATGCATCAAACGCACCTTCTGCAGCAGAGCCCGCGGGTCCTGAGCCATGATTGCGAAGGAAATCAACAATCTACGGCAATCGTACTGTCGATGGAAGAACTCTCGGAGGGATCGGAAGTCGGGGTTGGGTTCGATTTAAATGGGATGCGAGCGAGCCGGAAAGGACAGGTCGCAAGGGTGCAGAGACGGACGGTGTGTGATGTTGTTGCGTAAGGAGGTTTCGAGGTGTTGCGTGCGCTGGCATCAGCGTCAAGTGTTGCAGCAGCCGAACGACTCCCCCTCTGCCTTACCCGACCTGAACAGCACGTCTCGCCCACTCAGCGCAGCGAACTATGACGCGGGGCACTGTGGCTTAGAAAGACGCTATCAGTGGCTTGGTGGGGGGTTGCCTGGGGGTACCTCCGACAAGGTACTGGGTCGTTTGCACCGAGCACCGACTGAGCTCCAGATTAATTCTCCAGAGCCTCGAAGCTACTTTGACTTCATGCCATACGGTCCTTGACGAATTGCCACGTTTTCCCGCGAGCTACCCAAAAGACCACGTACAGCATCTGGATTCGATTCGTCAGACAAAGCACACGATGCGCTCCCTCTGCACGCGCTGCAGCGCCGTCCTCCGCCATCAGCGCGCATTCACCACATCCGCTGCCCGGCCCTCAGCGCAAAAGTCAATTCAACAAGTCCTCGCCCAGCCGACGTGGTCTGTTGCGTCTCTCTTGCCAAAGTCAGACGATGCGAAACCAACAGCGGAGGAGCCAATCACTCGATCGAAACTGCATCATCTCCTGCGGCTTTCCGCCCTACCACTGCCCGAAACCGAAGCAGAGGAGGCAGCTATGCTCCGCACCCTACACTCACAGCTTCACTTTGTGCGGGATGTACAGAGCGTCGATACCTCAGGCGTCGAGCCTCTGCGCTCGCTACGTGACGAGACGACCGAAGGCATAGCAGAAGCAACGATAGGATTGCAGCAATTATCGGAAGCCCTAGGAAAGGAGGTCCGCTTCGGCCACAAGAAACGACCAAAGAGGCAGCGTGGAAACAAGGTTGACACCAAAGGCGTCGAGGACTGGAACCCCTTGGGGACGGCGTCCAGGACGGCCGGCAAATACTTTGTCGTTCAAAGCAAGAAGGAGGAGTCATGATACCCACAATACAACATGCACGGTGAGAAGCGTTGATAGACAAATTTGCATTTCTCGTTTCTCGTGTTGTTACTACAGTATACTTCGTCGACTCCTCCTGTAACAAAGCTAACCTTGTAGTAAGCATGATGCCAATATCCACGCCTTTCCGCCCCCGTAACCATGCCATTTTTATAACGATGTCTCTACCGATCATCCCAGCTAAGATGCTTCCCGTAGCCTAATCCTGGATCTTCATCTTGCTCATTCTCGACTCGAGCTTGGCGTCGTTCTTGTGCTTGACCTCCTCCTGAATCTGGACGGCCTCCTTGTCCGGGTCGACATAGGTGGGCTTCTGGCTCTTGTCTCGGCCGTACTTCTCGTCCATGAGGTGGAGTGTCTCCTCATCCCTCGCGATCTGGGCATAATCGAGGTCCTCCCAGCCAATGTTCTTGAGAATGGTGCCAATCATGTATTGGTATCTCAGGTGGCCGCTAACCATGTTGCTCACGTCGTAATTTTCGACACCGTCTGCGCCCTGGATCGGTTGCAGTCCTGCGACGCCGAACTGCAGATTGGATGTGCGGTATAAGAAACCAAGAATGTAGTCATTCTCCGAGTAGACGTTGACCAGTCTACCGGCGACGACGCTCTTCAGCGCAAGCCAAACGCGGCTCTCAGATGGAGCCGGCGTGCCAATCATGACGACCGACTCAATGAGGCCGAATTGTCGACGCTCAGCAAGGACCATCAAGCAGGTGTAGATAGCGCGGGCAGCCAGACTGTAGCCGATGAGGCTGACGGGTCTGTCGCCTTGGACCTTCCGGCTGATGGCTTCAGCCAATATCATGCCAACCTTCTCGGCTCGGACCATACCGACACTCCAGGGGTTGTCGATGACCTTGCTGACCTTGAGAAGGCCGATCGGCCACATGGCCGACATGAGACTGGCAAAGACTATGAAGGTCAGCACTTTATACTGGTTACTTGACGCGGGCAAGACTTACTAGTACGCGTGATGATTTCCTTCTTGGCAACACTCCAGGCGGTACTCTTGATGACAGTCTCGAGCGAGTTACCCATATTCATCAGGTTGGCGACCTCCCATCTGACGGCGTACACCTCGCCTTGGTGGCCGACGCAACGCCAGGGATTGACAACGTCTTCCTTCTGGGTCAGCCAGCCACTGAGGGCGAGAACAACACGGAGGCGTCGGTCCTTGGGCGGGATCTCCTTGGCGTCGCGATACTCATCCTTCATCTCACCATGCAGCGGCAAGAATGCGAAGTCGGCGACATCTTTGGCGTATTGGTCCATCATCTTGGACGTCTGACGTGCGCCGTAGATGCCGAACAAGCTGCCGACGACAACACCACTGGAGGAGAGAGTTCCAAGCAGACCAGCTGCCGCCGTAGATCCCAATCCAACACCACCCATGACGGTGCCGATGCCAGCAGCGACCAAAGGAGCAGCCAGACCGCCAGTCACGCCAATGATGGCAGCGCCCGCAGCTCCGGCGAGGCCGACCTTCCAGCGTCTAGTATTCTTGTTCTCTGCCGCCTTTTCCTCGACGACCTCCTCGGCATTTACCTCTGAGACGGTCTTGCCGAGACCACGAGCGACGCGGACCTCATCCTCCTGAAAAGTGCGGAGAGTCAGATGGAGCGAGGATGTGAGGCTCATCATGAAAACGCGGGAGAAGGCGGTGTACTGCTCCAGAGATAGCAAGAGCAGGAGAACTGTGTGAAGGACGAGCTTGCGACGCTCAACAGGAAGGGAAGACAGGGTTGTGGAAATCGGAGGGAATCGCCGCATGAGCCAGGGGTCGGTCTCAGGCTGACGGCTAGCCGGCGGGCCTGCAGCTTGTTAGTAAAGACTATGAAGTGAGGCGTTCGAACTCACCTCCGGTCTTGACACTGAGGTTGCCGCCTCTACCGCGTCGGCGCGGCGTGCCACGACCTCCTTGCGGTGCACCACGATCGCCGCGAGCGCCACGGGATCCGCGACCACCTCGACCACCACGGGCGGCAGGGGCCTCGGCAGCGTCAGGGTCTTTGACCGAGATGTCCTTGACGCGGAGCAAGACGTTGCCCTGCCACTTGGTGAAGACGACGAGACACTCCTTCTTGAGCTCCTGCAGCTGGGGCGTCATGGCCTCCTTTTCCTCCTTCTCGACAATCTCGTGGGCCTTAGCGTACGTCTTACTGGCACCGTCTCCGCCAGATGATGAGGTGGGATTCTCCTTGCCGGCGAGTTGGGGCTGTGGTTGGGGAGAGGGAGTGGGCTTGGAGCCTCTGCCCTTGAGCAGTGAAAGCGACAGCCATGAGTGCTGGGGGTTCTCGGTAGATGCCGGTGTGATGGGAGGGGAATGGAAGATGTTGCTGATTTGATCCTTCATGTTGTCCAAAACGTCAGAGACCAGCTTGATGATCTCGTTCTTCTCCTCGAGAGAGAAGACGCCGGTGAGGTCGGTTTGGGTGCGGCGGCGTTGGCCGTGGGGGCGTCGTGAGCCGCCCATGGTGTCTTCGTTGTCAGGGTCTCGTTCCCAGTTGCCGTCTTCTTCTTCCCAGGAGCAAATAGAAGATGTGTCCAAGTGCTCCTCGTCAGAGTAAGTGTAGTTGTATTGGTCGTCGTCGTAGTCGTTGGACGAGTGTGGGTAAGTGTTGATGTTGGGGTCAGGGTCAGATGGTTGCGAGGTGGCAGAAGGAGGAGGGGCATCTGTGTTTGTACTCCTGGGGTCGTTGTGCGATGGCAGCGACGAAGCTGCCTCCTGCTTCTTTTGCACGGCAGGCGTGTCTGCCTCCCCCGTGGCAGGTACTGCCGGGGAAGGCGAAGCTGAGCGGGTGGTTTCCATATCGGGCGATTTCTCGAACGGTCCCTTCCTCAAGCAACTAATACGGTAGGCAACACCCAGAGGTGGGAAGGAGCAAGGACGGCACCTCACCTTACCAACGATACCGCACAGGGGCTACAGGGCGAATGGAAGGACCGGTTCCAGATTACGATAGAGTACAGATGACTATAATTGGGAACCACAAGCTGAGGGTGGCGGTGACTTGAAATGAGATACTGGACTTTCTCTGGCTGTTGGGGTGATTTCGTTTCAGGCCGTACCCATCACGAACGGGGTAGCAAACACTGGGCAGGACAGGAACAGGAACACGGGAAGGGAAACGTGCGAGCAACGAGTAACGGGGACATGAGCTCTGTTTGTAGTTGCGGCTTCCCGTGCTGCGCTGCGTCGCTGAGACTAGTCCAGCGGCCCCTGACGTCAGCTGTCATGTTGCACGCAGACAGCATTTCTGGCGTAAGGTACAGTACGCGGTTACCGCATCAGTGCAGTGTTCAGGGTCGCTGACGCTGTTTCCGGGGTAGGTACCGATCTTATCGATAACCGCCCCCAGTGGTCTGTGGAGGTGACGCCGAGCGGGTCTTTCTGTGCGCTGTGCGTCGTCTGATTGGCGCCTACCGCCTGCAACGTCTCTCCCCGAGCCACCTTCCGCGGATGCTTGCAGGCGCTAATGCAAGGATGGGCCGCCCTTTTCTGGAAGCTCCAGCTCCCCCTAGCTTTACACCGGCAGGAATGGAGAGCTAGACCCGGTCGAGTGGTTGTGTCCCATCCCGTTTGACACCGCCCCCCCGTTGTACCGCTGTCAACTCTATTTTTGTCGATATCGGTGTATTCAGATGAAGTCGGAAGCAACGCGATTCGGCCGTATCTGCTTCTTGTTCGTTGTGATATGCATATATCCCTCACCGGGAGGATAGACGGGTACAGATCCCTGTCAAGTCTGTTTGTACCTTTGCCGCGTCCTAGAATCTGTCCCAGGTTGTGCTCGTCTTTGCGAGGAATATCTTTGCAGCAACGTCCTGGGCAATCAAGACAGTCGACAAGGTCTCTTTGTAATTAACAGGTAGGTAGTCAACGGCCATTGTTCAAGAATTATTGGCCATCAAAATAGGAAGGTAAGGCAGTCTGGCGTCAGTTAGGATAGACCAGGCCAAGAACGATTGTTCGGAGATTTCCTGGTGATGCTACGTAGTCACGAGACGACGAACAGTTCATATTACAGGAAAGGACTGCCAATTATCTCATCAACAGAGTCGAAACAAATGGAACTGGATGTGCCCAGTATGTTACAGCATATATACCAGCTGAAATACAGAGATCATGATTATCTCCCCAAGCCTGGGTTCCGAATCCAGAACCAGACTTCTTTCTTTCATTTTCACCCGCCCTCCACGCGATGCCTACACTTGTTTTTATAGTCTTGAAAGACCAAAACGGTTCTTGTTTTGGGCCGCAAACTGACCAACAGTCTCGAACCTCAACGGCTTGCATCGACCTTGCCGCTCCAACCCGGAACGCCCCCCAAGGACCATATAAACCTGATTGCCGGCATGATGCGCAAACGGACACGGACGAGTCCATGCATCAGCTCCACCCGCCGCAAAACCGCACAGCATTCAACGTCGCAGAGCCATGGCTCAAATCGTCGATCGCTTCTTCAACTGCCTCAGGAGGTACCGCCGTCTGCTCGGGAGACGACATCAACCGCAACACAACGAGGATGCGACCAAAGACAACTCGATCGAAATGGCAGACCTCGAACCTGCAGACGATATCCCGCTCATCACCGTCCACGACCCTGACAATAGAACTCTCAGCATAAGATCCGCAGATCTTGTAAGCAACCCTCCGTCGATGAGACCTATGAAAAGTAATAGAGCCAAGTGCCCGAAGTGTCTGACTTTGCCCAAACAAAGGTAAGGACCTGCAAATAAGACTCTCGCCATCAACGCCAAGTCCGCGCTCAATGACACATGTTAGGCTAGAAGCAAGAAGAAATAAGTTGCGATGAGTATAGGATCATAATACGCTTTCTGTTGTGGCATTAGTCCCCCAGGTCATGATACCGAGCATGGGCAGCCAGGGCAAAAGGGGGTATGCAATGTCCGCATAAAGGACACCGTGCCGTCTCCTCGTTATCCTCCCACGAGTCTCCGGTCCCAAAATCCATCAACTCCGCCTCCTCGAATTCATCGTCTGAAACAGGCTGCTCGTCTTCAACGATTGCGGTATCGATCCTCCACTGCCGCAGCACGTCGTCCTGCCGCTTGAACATGACGGAGATGTCCCGCCCAACACCAGGGCCGGCCTCGCTTCCGCTGGCAGCCATATTGGCGACACAGACATTCATGAGTTGCAAGTTCCACTTGTGATTCGCAGGGTGGAATTTCTTCATCGTCGGGAGGAGGATTTCGGTTACGAGTCGCTCAGCGATGGACTCTGGGGTATCTTTGAGGTTGAAGATGAAGTTGGGGAGGGGCTGAGAGCGAGATATGCGTTGAAAGTTGGGCGCCGCGTCGGTTGGCCAGGATCGAATGGAAAGACGGAGCGTTTTCGGGTGGGCGATCCATCGCTGGCCTCCTGGATCTAGAGAGGAGTCGTCCGTCAACAAGTCTGTCCGCATCCGTCTCACAAGAGATGCGGAAATCTTCCGTAGCTCGTTCTCAATCTGCACCATATTCTCCAAACCCTTGAAAGTGTCTTCAATGCTGATTTGAGACGGGATGTCGCTGGCGTCCTTCACCTCGGTGTCGTCAACGCCGTGCAAGAGCCCCCATACCCGTTCTCCGACACCGCGTTCCGAGCCAGGTCCGCCAAGCAGCTTCTCCAAAAAGTCCGCTGCCGTGTCTGGATGAAGTCGAACGTCGCGTACCTTCAACGGCGACGTCTCCCTGTCCGCGTCGTCCGGACCAGGTTGCGTCGAGAGATAATGTGATTCCAGCATCCGCGACGTCCTGAACCCGATTCCCGGCACCTTTCTGACCGAGTGCGCGTCCATGAAATCCTCGATCACAGAGTCCGTAAGGGACATCAAAGTCGTCTGGTTTCGCGGCTTGTGAACGCTTCCCGCCAGCTTGCTCAGCAGCTTATTTGTCGACACTCCCACCGACGCGGTGAAACCAAAATCCTCCTCTAGCTTCAACCGCAGATAGTAAGCCAGATGGCTTGCTAGGAGAAGCCGCACGTACTTCGGGTCGTCGAGATCTCCTGTCTCGGGGACAGGTCCGTAGACACACCCAGCAACACTAGTCAAGTCACAGACGAACCCCTTTTCAGGATCCTGCCTCGACAAATGGAAGAACGACTCCGACAGAGACACTTTGTTTAGACAAAACATGTTGTACTGGATGATGTCCGTAACATCTGCAGTCGTCAGCAAAAAAACACCCTTGCACCGGACAAAGAGGCAACACACCCACCCATGAAGACCTCGTCAAACCCCAACCTCTCCACCTTGCCACACCACGAGAAGCCTCTGAGGAACGCAAAGAGCGTCTTGCTCATGTCTCGGAATGGCGTCAGATCTTCGCCCTCGATGATGACAAGATCGGGACATATCTTCTTGGCGTCCGTGATGAACATGAGCTTCTTCACGCCCCGCCGGCGGGCGACGTAGTTGCACGTCGCGAGGATGTTCTTCTGCTTCACGCCCAGCGGCAGGGCCTTCAGCTTCGGATCCCGATTCTCCAGCACCGATGCGTAAAAGCAGTCGTAGTCCTGGCGCCGGCGTTAGCAGTGAAATAGGGCATGGCTGGTATCTTGACTAAGTGAGGTCCGTGAACGACTTCAGAGCAGACATACAAAGTGGAGAATGGTTCGGTCATCCTTCCTCCTCGGCGCCCTTTTCCTGGGCAATTCCATCGTGATGTTCAATCTTCTTCGTCAAAAGAAGACAAGAATTGATGAGTCAGTAGATGAACCCTCCCCATCGCCAGCCCATGCGGCGTTGCTCCGTGTGTCGTCAACGGCACTGCCTACCGGGATGGGATGGAATGTAACGGGCGGAAAGGCAACTGGACCCGCGCGCAACGGTCGCTTATCTTTCGCACCGAGTCACCCGACCGACAGGCCACGCCGGCGACCGCTTCCGAAGGACAAGGAATACCTAATGTGTAAGGTAGGTAGGTAGGTACCTCGGGTTACCATTTAAGCCAGTTACTGCAAGGCTTACGCAGGCCACGCTACTTTGGCACTGGACGTCGCTGCTGCGCAATTCAAAGGATGAACCCTCCTGAGTGGGGGGTAAACCAGCAGCAGGAGCAGTTTATTCCTCCGAAAGCGAGACGGCGCCGAGGAGCGGGTTTGTTCGCCGCAGAAGATATCCATTCTCCCTCCACCAACCACTCCCGGCGCATCGTTCTGCGTTCTGCGCGTCGTTTCCGCGCATCCTGCAAAGCGCTCTTTCCAGCCAAAAAGGGCCCTTATCGTCCACATGTCGCCATCTGTTTCACAGCTCGCCTTACTTTGCCATACCTCACCTCTAAGAACGTGACCATCTGTCTCTGATACTGCACTTACTGCAACCTCCAGTCCGACACAAACCATACGCCATCTGAATCTGCCTGCTTTCTGGTGCTGCTGCCCGCCGCCTGAACTTCACGCTACCGCATCACACCCACACACCAACCCACGTCCCGCCCGCTCACCACACTTTCATCCCTCGCTCGCTTGCCCTCTCCAAGGCCCATCCCGAACGTACCACAACTACCCAAGACCGCCGCGAAAGTCGAACCGCACTGAGGGGCGTGAAGTCAAACCTCCCACGTAGCCACGCAGTAGCCCACCACCTAACCAACTAAACCACCTGGTTCCCCCCCTCCAGCCAACGAGAAGCCCTCCATCTCGCATGACGGTTCCTTACCCAGCCCGTCCGTAAGCTCATCATGCTCCCATGCCATTGCCTGTTGCCCACACCCCCAAACCCACCCCCTCCACTCTAAGAGACACTTTCACAAGGAGGGTCAGTTCTACAGCGCGTAGTGTGTGTAGTCTATGCCATAGTT